CATGCATGCATAAATAAATAAAACCCAAACAAACAAATATTTAAAAAAATATGAATGAAAAAATTAAAAATGGTATAGAATTTGCTGAAAACCATATGAACTAAACATCAATACAAAAAATACATTTTTATTTATTTATTCATTTTACTACGGTCACACTTGTATGTTATCGCTTAAAAACTAAAAAAAAAAAAACTTGAAACTGAAGCATGCAGAATGTCCTTGATCTCATTTTCAGGTTATAAAGCGAAGCTGCTTTGCCTGATCATCTGTTTATTATCGTTCCTCTCATGGGCAGATAAACTCTGAGAGCGTTCTGTGCCCGGTGTGCGTGTGTGCCAGATCCAGCTGTGTGAACGGGGCTCTTCTATGTAAATGTTAACAGGTGTGAGTGTGTGACTGTAGTGCAGATCTTACGGTGCCATGAAAGCGGTTCGCTCATTTGTCAGGTACCCATAATGCAGTGTGATGTAGTCAGAGGAGTGCTGGTGTTACTCACGAGGCATGATGCCCTGGTCAGCGAGCTGCTCTCGCGTCCTCCTCTGCTGGAGTCTCAGCTGCAGGACTGTGGGTGGAGGAGGAAACAGATAATGACTCATCATGAGTGAAGCTGGACAAATCAGACAGAAATCTGTGTCCGGAGAAGGAACACATCATCCCGTACGGACGGGCAGATGCTGCACACACACACACACACACACACACACAGACACACACACACACACACACACACATTAACGGGCCACCTCTTACGTTTATGAGCGCCTCCCTCCTCTCAGACTTCAGGAGGACCACACACTGAAGGAAGATTTGTTTAAAGCCAGGAGCTGTGTTTATCATAGACCTACATCCTGTTTTAAGAAATATTTGTGGGTCTGTTGCTTCATTTTTGTCTTTGTTTTGGGTGGTGTGTCTCTCATCACAGCAATCTACCCTGTCACTGCACGAGTGTCCATGTATTACGTCTGTGTATAATCTACTGTATGTAAGACTAAGAAGAATAAGTGGGGAAAAAAATGGCTTTGCGTCTTTATAAATTACGTTTGACCAGACATTTATTTCAACAGCAATGGGACATTCGGTTGTTTGTATCACTCTGAATGTGTTTGCGCGTTCCAGACAGATGTTAGTAGAAGCATTAGTGTTGAGAATGTTTCAGTCACTCTTTCTACAAACTGATTTGTTCAAAACATTGATTCATTCAGGAACAAAACAAATAATTGCATTTAGGAAAGAGTTGTCGAATCACTCACTCACTCACTCACTCACTCACCCAGGTCTTAAAAATGCCAAAGCGCAGTGCCCTTAACGCACACTAAATCCACACTCTTGAGCGCTATTCGCGGAAAAACAAAGTGTTGCACGTTTTAGATGAGTGGTGGTGATATTTATTTTGTACAACATTTGCAACTTCTTTTTATCACTTAAGCACCACAAATTAAATTGTGTCATGATATAGCGACTACTGAACAGACAGTTGATTTTAAAATGCAAAGCATTTAAAATAAAAATAAATCTCTATTAGTGTGTCCCATCCAACGCTATCTCACGTCCAATTCGTACGTATTTTACAAGGTGGCTAATTCGATTTGTCTAGACCCCAGTGACGGGTAGGTTTAGGGGCGGGGTTATGTGTAGGTCATTCGTACAAATTCATACGAATTGTGCAACTCGTAAAATGCGGTTTAGCACAAATCGTATGAATTTGTAAGAGTGAGGTCGTACGAATTTGTACGAATTAGCCACCTCGTAAAATATGTACGAATTGCCGTGAGATCGGGCTGGTCCCATCAGGTAATGAAAAGTTTGACACACACTTGTGGTCTTCATCCTCACTTGAACACTTGGGCCAAATACAGGAAATACGTCATATAAGTAGTCAACTGGTCAAGTGCAAAGACTGCAAATGTGGGTATTTGGACAAGGCATAACTGTCTTTATGAGCAAGTCACTGAATCATTCACTCAAGTGGTTTGTTCAAAACACTGATTCATTCAGGAACAAAACAAGTAATTGTCTTTATGAGTGAGTCATTGAATCATTCATTCAAGGGAATCATCCAAAACATTGGTTCATTCAGGAACCAAACAAGTTATTGTCTTTATAAGCAAGTCATTGAATTATTCACTCAAGCGATTTGTTCAAAACACTGATTCCAACGATGTTGTTACTTTGTACCTTTATCATTACAGCTGTGGTGTGGACTCTGCTATTCTTTAATATTGAGAACAATTTTTAGAGCTATATCGTTATCGTCCTTGATGTGAACAGGCCGTAAGTTTCTTTATGAGTAAGTCATTGAATCATTCAATTCTAAAGCACTGATTAATTAAGAAACAAGTAATCATCTTTACGAGTGAATTAATGAGTCATTCACTAAAGCGATTTGTTCAAAACACTGAATTATTCAGGAACAAAACAAGTAACTGTCTTTATGAGAGAGTCATTGAATCACTCACTCAAGCAATTCATTCAATGATTGTGTGTGTTGATTGTATTTTCGCCTCATCTGGAACTATTTTCATTGGCGGAGGAAAAATAAACAAAAGTAAATGGGAATATTGTGTCTAAAAATGTAAGTTACTCAGTGATGTTTACTGAACTGTATAACAGCAATATCACTCACAATTACAGAAAAATAGCATTCTTGCTTGCGAGATATTGTTGAAACACATTTCACGCAACACGAACACTGGTTAACGTGTGGACATGCAACAGTTCGTGTACTTGTCAAAGTTCATTTGATCGTCCATTCGTTCTTCCATTTATCATCGCAATCAATCAACCAGCTGCATCATTGACTGACTGATGGCTGCGGGTTCGAAGCGCTGAGATCATGCATCAGCTATTTGCATACATCTGCTTTTGTTTAGGTCACACAACCTGCGCTTCTGTGTCCAGCGCCAGCAACTGTCATGCACTGCAAGTATGTGGACAAACAAGAGAAATCTAATGATGTCGAGCTCTGGCACACCGACACAACCTCGCACGCACAAATAATACTGCCAGCTCTCGCATGATCGCTGATATGAACTGAGACAAGCAGTGCCAGTCTGCTTTTGGCGGATGGAAGGAACCTCAATCTGGACCAATCTAGATCAAACTTTTAATGCTGTTTGTTCGCTATAAGAACCGTCACTGGACCTCACGTTTGCTCTCCAGAAACAGGTGAGTTCATAAAAGCCCAAAGTGGAAAAATGCCTTTTGGCAACGTGACACATTTTAGCAGGGCAAACGAAAGCACCAGACCCATGATTGCCCTCAGTGATTGCCCTCAATAAGAATTATCACAGCTTTGCAGACAAACTGGATCACATAACCCTCCACAATCAAAACCAGATGATCTGACTCAATAGCACAAAAATAGCTGCAGCCGTTGTCTTCAAGGCACATACCTGCAAAAACAACTTGTACCCTGTATAATTTGCCCTAATGACAACAATTACGTATTAATAATGCAATTGCACAATACACATGCTATGCTAGAATATCCCCATTTAAACTCAAATTAAACGTACACACTTTGTCTTGTTTGGGTTGTGTAAGTCTATTAAACTCAAATGTCATGAGCTGCATGACAAAAGCCCTGAACTTTGACGTTAACTGCATTGCCTGTAAATAGCAAGGCTGTAATCTTGACATGACACAGGCAGCCGTGACACATGCACATTCAGACAGACTCTGAGGCACATGGTGACGCGTCTCAAGCAGAACTTAGAGTTCAGACATCAAGCACTTTACATACACTAAAAATAAAGGTTCTTCATTGGCATCTGTGGTTCCTTGAAGAACCTTTAACATCCATGGAGCCAGTAAAGGTTCTTTATAGTGGAAAAAGATCTTTAGATTTAAATATTTTCACACTAGGAAAAAAAAAAATGTTTCTATTAAGAACTGACCTCTTTAGGAACCTTTATTTTTAAGAGTGTGGAACCTTTCCATTCTATAAAACGTTCTTTTTAGTGGAAATTGTTCTTTAGAAACAAAAATGGTTCTTCTATGGCATTTTACCCCCATTTTTAAGAGTGTAAACACTAAATAGTTTTGTGAAGGTCATGATGTTCATTTTCTGTGAGCGAGGAATGATTGTAAGGTATGTTGGGAGATTCGAGGACAAACGTTTTTGTGTTTTCATGCATGCACAAATCTCTATCTCTATAGAAAGACTCTTTATATCTCTATAGAAAGACTATAATAAGGGCTTTTACCTACATTTTTGACTAAACACCTTGAAATGGCAGCATTGATCAAAGTCATTGTTCAGACCCTTTCTAGCATGAGGAAATCAACCAATTATTGCCCAGATATTTTAATTATTTGCAATTTTCCATCCGCATGTTTAGTGCATTGCAATTTTGAATTTTCAAAGGCAACCCTTTAAGAGTTTTTTTTTTAAATGTACATTACTGTAACCCAGTAGCATTTACATTCATATTTAAATGACCTTTATTTTTAAGAGTGTGGAACCTTTCCATTCTATAAAACGTTCTTTTTAGTGGAAATTGTTCTTTAGAAACAAAAATGGTTCTTCTATGGCATTTTACCCCCATTTTTAAGAGTGTAAACACTAAATAGTTTTGTGAAGGTCATGATGTTCATTTTCTGTGAGCGAGGAATGATTGTAAGGTATGTTGGGAGATTCGAGGACAAACGTTTTTGTGTTTTCATGCATGCACAAATCTCTATCTCTATAGAAAGACTCTTTATATCTCTATAGAAAGACTATAATAAGGGCTTTTACCTACATTTTTGACTAAACACCTTGAAATGGCAGCATTGATCAAAGTCATTGTTCAGACCCTTTCTAGCATGAGGAAATCAACCAATTATTGCCCAGATATTTTAATTATTTGCAATTTTCCATCCGCATGTGTAGTGCATTGCAATTTTGAATTTTCAAAGGCAACCCTTTAAGAGTTTTTTTTACAAATTTACATTACTGTAACCCAGTAGCATTTACATTCATATTTAAATGTTTTCACATATAAATTGTATAAATATGGCAATTTTATCTCTATAGAACATCCGAAGAAAAGACAATAGAGTTTTACCTATCATTTACTATAACAGCCAGATAATTTTTTTTTGACTAAACACCACCACAGCACACTTTGGGCAGGTTATCAAAAGCTCTTACTATGTGTATGTTAATAAAAACATCTATTGTCACCCAAAAACATTAACAGCCTTTAGTTGCCTGTGAGCTTTAACAAGTTAAACGTGTCTGTAATCCTCTTTAAAAGCCCAGTGACAACATTTCAGATCTTGACCTCAGATGCACGAGTATAGAAAGCATTTAAAAGGGTTATGTAATCTCATGGCCGCCCATGTCCTGTTGAAGAACCTCAATGAGCCAAACACGTCCACAGGGAACATACGGTATGATTCCTATCAGAACAGCTCAATCACACACACACACACACACACACTCGCTCGCTGAACAGCCAACACACACAGCCACAAACCTCACATCTGTGCTGCATCAGAGCGCTAATGTGTGCTGTTCACAACACGCCAATGTTTAAGTTTTCCCATCATGCCACTGTGTGGAACAGCCTTACATCTCCACTTCCCTTGAGCATAGAGCTCATTTCCCTTCGCTGAAGGAAGAGCTCAATTTTGTCTGTAATTTTGAGCAGTAAGCCATTATTGTGCCAAACCCGAGCGCTGCTGTGAAATCCAACGCAGCGTTCGAGAGGAAAGCTAAGCTAGAGTTTGTCTGCTGGGCCATAAATCTTGATGGTTGGCCGACAGAAGCAAAGAAGATATTCAGAGACTCTGACATTGTGGTTATTCAATAACACTTTCATCAGAAAGGTGGCAGCATTGTTCACAGTACATGTACATGTTACACTGAACGTCTTCAGTAGATGAACAGAGACAGAGAGAAAGAGTTCGAAAGAAACACAAAGAGTGGATAGTAGTAAACAATACAAGTGTGAAGTAATTAAAAAGCCAGATGTAAGAGTTTATGTTTACACTGAATGATTTTTTTTGTGTTGTTTTCCAGTACAAATATCTAAACATTCTTAAAATGAAGATATATTTACTTGAAAATCAAAAATGACTGACAAATTTCAAAATGAAGTGAATTTACGCTTGGAACAAGAAAAAAAACAAAAAAACAAGAACATTTTTCTGATCCCACTGACTTTTTTTTCTTATTATTTTAGGCATAAACTCATTTAATTTGGATGAATTTGTTAATATCTTAACATCATCAAATAAATGTATCTAAGAATGTTTAGATAATTGTACTGGACAACAAGACGAAAATACTAAGAAAATCATGTTTTTGCACAGGTTAAGTGGTACTTGATGACCTTTGACCCCTGTATCAAATCACTTGAGGCTTTTGGAAGCAGTGAGGCTAAAAGTGTATGAAACGACCAACAAGTACAAAACAAAAATATTTTCATATTCCAGAGTAAAGTGTATGTAACATACTTACAAACATTTTGTGAATTGTAAGAACTCATCATGCATTGGTAAATAATCAACGCTTCCTAATAAGTTTCCTAAAAGCATTTCTTTTGGAGGTGAAACAAAGATCTCACCTGATTTAAACTTGCTGCGAATCAGAATGGAATGTTCAGATCCCAGTAGAGTCATTGTGTTCCAGTGTCAAAGCATCAAGTGCGTCGCTTCAGCCTCTCATAGCACACACTATCCGCATGCATTCACGCGCTCAAGCGCTTTGGTCCCATGCAGAACTGATTCTCTGCTCCATGAGAGAGAAACTGATATGCAGCGCTGCTGGGAGGGTCTTAAAGCTGAGGAGGCTCGACTGAGTCCCACCTCCTTCAGCTCTCACACTCACACACACACACACACACACAGGCACAAACAAACCCTGAGCAATCTCAAATTAACATGTGGTCGTAATTAGTAGCAGAATGATCCTCATTTGAAGTGTGGGAGACTTTAATAACCTGATTCCAATATGATCTGTTAAGTGTGGTAACGTGTTGCCAATCGCTCAGTCGATACACGTTATCTTATCTGTAGTGTTGGATTCTCCACTCGGAAAACAAGCAGCCCTTCCTCCGGCTCCTACAGGCTGTCAAAACATTGGTCAGGGCTTCGCTGTGTCTCCAGCCTGCATTAAACTAGTGCTGGCACTGAAGCTCTGCTCTTGGACAGGCTTTCGTGCAATTAGCTGTAGGGACATCTAGGATCGTGTGATGTGCCGTTGTGGGGTTTGAGCTGGCCTTTCAAATCAATTTAATCAAAAGTGTACAAATATGGAATTAAAAATAGATGTTGAGCCGCAGGGCTTTCCTGGCAGTGCCCATTCGTTCCCCTTACTTTCTGTGTAATGCATTCATCTGCTGCTAATCTGACTGATGACCGCGTGTCGACACAATATCACAAACTCAATAAGATCTCTTTAGAGAGTTTCTCACATAAAGTCACGTTTGCATGATTTAAAGTCACATTGTGAGAAATATAAAGAGAAACAGAGTCACAATTACTATAAACAAATTTGCTCTGTCACAATTGTGAAATATTAAGTCAATTAAAAGAAAGTTGCTTTGTGAGATTTATAGTCACTTTGCGAGATATAAAATTACTATTGCGAGAAATCTTCACCACTGCAAAAAAGTCACATTGTGAGATATAGTGTTGGAATTGTGTTGTGAGAAATACAAACAGAGGTCAGATATAGAGGTATATCTAGCGTAGCGTTAGTTCTAGCAGGTCACGTTAGTCAAGCTCGCATCAGCTGACTCTCAGCTGATCCCCATCTACCTATAGGAATATGACACCTATCTAAGCATTCATATATAAGGTCCCTCAGTGTTATCAGCAGTTTTCGCATTGCTCAATAGCTAATTATCCTCCTCCATCCCCAACTCCTCCTCTGTCAGTCAGGATTCAGCCTTCTGATTTTCCTTTGAATCAGACTAATTCTAAAATGTGTACATAACATTATTGAACTTTAACGATATCTGCAATACATTTATGTTGGTTCTGTTCAGTTTACCCTGGGGGGGTTATCGCTGCTCTCCCTGCTCTCATCCATGCTAGGCTGGGAGTTCGTAATTGCAAGATATAAAGTTACATTTTAAAATATAAAGCTGCAACAAGAAAAAAGGTTACTTTGTGAAGTCACATTGTGAGGTTTAAAGTCATAATTGGATGGTATAAAATCACTATTGCGAGAATTCTTGACATTTGCGAAAATAAAGTTGCAATTGTGAGAAATAAAGTCATATTTAAAAGAAAGTTGCTTTGCGAGTTATAAAGTCATTTTGTGAGATAAAAAGTGAAATTGTAAGGTATAAAAGAAAATTATTCACATGTGCATAAAGTTGCATAAAGTTATGGAGAGATATGAAGTCACAATTACATGAAACAGCATTGTAATTGCAAGACAAAATTGCAGTTACAAGTAAGTCACCGCAAGATTTAACGTCACATTGTGACTTTCAATTAAAAGAACCTCGCTTTGTGAGATATAAAGACAAATTTGTATAAAATCACTATTGTGAAAATTCTTCACAACTACGAAAATAAAAAGATATAGAGAAAAATAAAGTCTCAATCACAAGAAACAAAGTTTTAATGGATCATTAGACCTCAATTGTGAGAAATAAGGTCGCAATTAAAAGAAAAATCCGCTTTGTGAGAGTTAAGGTCACATTGTGAGATATATAGTCAAAATTTGAGGCATAAAGTCCCTATTGCAAGAATTCTTTACAATTGCAAAAAAAAAAAATTGTAATTGTAAGATATAAAGACACATTAGCTAAGTTTCCATCACCTTATTTTAATGCGCATTTTGAAGTATCGCATGAGAAACGAGTAATGTAACTTCATGTAAATAAGATTGCATAACCCTTTTAAATGCTTTCTATACTCGTGCATCTGAGGTCAAGATCTGAAATGTTGTCACTGGGCTTTTAAAGAGGATTACAGACACGTTTAACTTGTTAAAGCTCACAGGCAACTAAAGGCTGTTAATGTTTTTGGGTGACAATAGATGTTTTTATTAACATACACATAGTAAGAGCTTTTGATAACCTGCCCAAAGTGTGCTGTGGTGGTGTTTAGTCAAAAAAAAATTATCTGGCTGTTATAGTAAATGATAGGTAAAACTCTATTGTCTTTTCTTCGGATGTTCTATAGAGATAAAATTGCCATATTTATACAATTTATATGTGAAAACATTTAAATATGAATGTAAATGCTACTGGGTTACAGTAATGGAAATGAAAAAAAAAAACACTTAAAGGGTAGCTTTTGAAAATTCTAAATTGCAATGAACTACACATGCGGATGGAAACGCCAAATTTAGAAAATAAATCCCTTAATTCGCAAAAAAGTTTTTACACTCGCTTGAAGTGGTTTTTGACTTGTGCGAAAAAGGGTTAATGCGAATAATGGGAGATGAAAATGCATTTTGCGAATAAATCCCGCATTCGCATTAAAAAAAGTTATGTGACTTTGCGCTATGGGACAGCATAACCTGACTAACAAGCGGACCGATTTAATTGCACAGCATCTGAAATGTTGTCATGGTCATTCTGAAGTGCCCGAGCAAAGTCTGTCATCAAAGTACTTCTGTATAACTGCCCCCCAGAACAGTCTACCACAACTGTGTTCCCAAACAGCTGACATTCACCTCCGAAAGCAAGGCCGCATTTATTGTGTTTCGTCTACTCACTTAAAGCGCAAGTAATTTATTATATTTGAGAATTATTATATTCAGTGGCTTCTCTTACTTTTCTTAGTGATATTTAGTGCCAGTTTATCAGGAAGTGACGATTTTGTTCTCTCTGACTCGTTGGATGGAAACAGGACTTGTTCGCAAATGTTTTATGCGATATTCCAATTTTGCGCACAAGTTAAATTCGCAACTTTGGATGGAAACCCGGCTATTGTGAGATATAGATGTTGGGAATGTGATAAATACAAAAAGATGCAGAGCCATAATGAAATATAAAGCCACAGTTACAAGAAACAAAGTCTTTTTGAGAGATTTAGTCAAATTGTGAGGTTTAAAGCCGTAATTGCGATTATTTCTCACACGAAGTCGCAATTAAAAGAAAGTCACTTTGCAAGATTTAAGGTCACATTGCGAGATATAAAGTTAAATTGTGAGGTAAAAAATTGTAATTGTGAGATAAGTCACATTGTGAGAAATAGATTTGGTATGGTGAGAAAAATAAAGAGTTATAGACAGATATAAAGTCACAGTTACGAGAAACACTAATATGTGTCATGATTGCAAAATTGAGATTTAAAGACCTACACTCTTAAAAATAAAGGTGCTTCAAAAGGTTCTTCAAGCGATGCAATTGAAGAACCATTTTTGGTTCCACAAAGAACCATTCAGTCAAAGGTTCTTTAAAGAACCATCTCTTTTATACCTTCTTGTAATCTGAAGAACCTTCTTTCGCCACAAAAAACCTTTTGTGAAACAGAAAGGTTCTTCAGATGTTAAAGGTTCTTTATGGAACCATTTAGACAAAAAGGTTCTTCTATGGCATGGTGAAGCACCTTTATATTTAAGAGTGTAAAACAACAGCACAAATGTATTCTAGGAGAACCATCTGAGATGAAACTGTGATGAAACTCCTCCTGTCCAGAGACCCACGGTCGTGCAGCCTCACGTCTTCAAGCACTTCAGCTGGAGTTTAAGCAAAGCAAATGGCTTAAACTTGCTAATGGCACCAGAATCGGTCCGGTCCCTCTGCCACGCGTAGTCGAGCTCGCTCCAGTATACAAGCCAGCTCAAATATTTACATTAGGACATCTTGAGTTGTGAACCGACTATTTTTCTCTGGAAGATCATCTGGCCGCACACGTTTCCCCATGACTGGAGTTTGGACGGCTTAATTAGCAGGTGAAAGTACTTAAAGGCAGGGTGCGACCCAGAGTTTGACAGTGAACACAGAGCATCCCTGTGAATTCCTGCGAGGGTCACTGAGCCCCATCCTAATCCTCCCTGTAATTGGGCTCTGAGTCTGCGGCGTGACATCTTACATCTGACACCTCCGGCTCATGATATGTGGCTGTATACAGTAACACACACACACACATGTTCTTTAACAGGGCATCCGTCTTAACATGAGCTCAGGAACGTGAAGTTTTCTTCACTGGATCCAGCGTTTCAAACCATATTGGATTCATCAGAATCATTATCTTTCAGCATGTGTTTATTGGCGTCCTGAACAGAGTTTTTTTTTTTTGTGAAAAGAAAATCACAAAACATTCTACACAAGATCTAATATAAATGATGTCTTAGTCTTTGTATAATTTAATGTGTTTAGAAGTCAAAAACATCATTCATCAGTTTCCAGTGAAAACATTTCTACACTTTGAATGAATGCATAACTCTTCTGGTTCTTTTTGGGGACCATTTCAAGTGCAATGAAAAAAAAAAACCTGAACTGAAATCAAATTCAAATTACAGTGAAGGTTTTTGTCAGCAGATAGTCTGCGCTTTGAGTAATACACGTGTCTAGGGACCTATTTGTGTCATTGTTATTCATGTCTTTTAACTGCTGCTGCATTTCCAAATGCCAGGAATTGTCCGATTTGAGACGTTATGAAATACTTTTTAAAACAATGCTTTACAATAATTATATAATATGCTCCGTCTGAATTGTTCTGAGCAGGAGTTCTGTGAGGGATCATCCAGCTCTTGGCTGAGTCTCAGACGAGGGTCCCGCACGTAGACAGACGGGGTCCCGACTGGAGCCAGTG